GAATTTTGCGAGCAGAGCCAGCGAGCGCGGCGGCCCGCTCCCTTCGGCCCCAGGTTCTAGCGCGACGACCCGCCCACCCCGCCTTTAGGTAGGGGGCATTCAGTCCTCTGCTGGCCCCACCCCTGGGCGCCAGCCGTCGTCCTCCCGCTTGGGCGCCTATGCCAACTGCTGGAGCGAGGCGCGCCGTGTGCTTCGTGTCTCCCGCTCCACAGCTCCTTAAACCTGGCCCAAGAAGGGTCGTGCCCAGCACCGGGTAGCTAACTGCAGCCTGCCAGGCTGCCCCCCCCCAGGCCACTGAATTAGAAATCTGGGTCAGAGAGGTGAACTTGTAGCCAGCGCAGCCTCTCTGCTTCTGGTCCTCCGGTCACCTTTGATGATCAGGCAGTCTGGCTTCCGTTTTTGTTTTGTTAATATTTGGAAAATGATGCACAGGGAAGTGAAATGATTGACTCACAACTCTGCAGATTAGTGGCAGCATCTAGGCTGTTTTAAACACAGACTTTCCCCCGAAAAACAACAGCGACAACAAAAACCCACCTAAATCGTGTGCACTGATATTTTCAGATACTACAGCGCCTTTGCAGAGAGTCCTTCCCACCAGTCTCTTCCCATGAGAGAGAAGACAGTGTGGGCCCTCCCGACCAGCCACAGGGATTTCCAGAAGATTCACTTCTTTAGTTTGTATCCTGAAAACCATAGGCACATATTTTTTCATCATCTAAATGTATGATTATTATGCTGAATAAAGTTTTGAATTTCCAGACTCTGGCCCAGGAGGATTCAGGTTTTGAGGGCTGAGTTTGAGAGGTGCCTGCCCCTGCCCAGGGTCTCCTTTCCTGGGCGAGGGTCCTGGGAACCTTCTGGATGCCACAGGGAATTTCCCGTTATTCTTTGCTGACATCTGTGTCCCAGGCTCTGAGGGGCTTTAAGAGGCAGCTTCCCTTTCAATGCAGCGTGGGGACAGTGCAGTGCAGGGACAGTCTGGGTAGGGGTCAGGGAGACTCAAACCTCAGGGCACGCCTGTGGGATGAGATGTAGACTGTTCCAAATGAAGACAAATGTCCCTCAATAAAGTGCCATTCCCAAGGGCCCCCCTTGCTGTCTGCTGTCAGCCACGGTTTAGGGCTCTGAGGTCAAGGTCTTCCTCCCAGCCCCCCAGGCTACTTAGCTTTGCACAGAATAGCCAGTGGGGGGCTAGGCCTCCTCCCTCTGCTCACAAATGCACCTCAGAGACCAGGCACAGGGCCAGGGAGAGAGTGAACCTGCTTGTGCAAATCATTCTGTCCTCCCTGTGGGGAAGACGTCTCCACCAGCCAGGCCATGCGTCTGCAGTGTCTGCTCCGGAAGGGATCCTCTGTTGCGCATGGACGCCTCCCCAGGCACCTGGAGAATGCCTTAGCGAGCAGCCATCTGTTCCTGTGGCTTCCCACCAGGAGGCCCTGTCCTGGGTCATACACAGCTCACCTGCTCCAGTAAGGTCTTAGCTGATGGTTAAATATCAAAATTTCCTCTATGCTCCTTGGGCAGCAGCCAGCTGACTCCCCAAATGCCTGTCTTCCAGGCTGTACTCTCCCTCCTCCACTCAGCAGTGAAAAGGTTTCCGGCAGGTGCAGCAGGAGGACTTTAGGACACTGCCCCCCCCAGCCTGCTTCCCTTCCAACTGGTCAGCAGGGATCCAAAGCAACAGGCTTTTGCAAAAAGCATCAGGTGGCGAGTTGGTGACCTGTTAGTGCACCTGAGAAACTTTAGTTTCCAGTGTCCCTTATGTGGAGACTTCACATAACTCTCCCATGATTTCATTGTTCTTGTGCTAAGCTTTGGTCTTCCCTGTGCTCCTGTTTTCAGATGTTGTTTACATCTTATGTTTTGCAAATCCTGGGCCTTGGGTACAGGGCAGCAAGGGTGGAGGGTCTGCCAAGAGGGAAGGAATGGCATATCAGCCTGCCTAGCTGGAAGATACAGATGCTGCCATCTGTCTGAGAGGGCCTTGGGCAGAGGGGCTGGGGGCTGAGGTTAGAGTCTCACAGAAGGGCAGAATGGGCCAACCTGGTTCTCAGCACTGTCACCAAGGTGCCTTGGGAAATCCAGAGCTATTTCCACACTCCGGTTCGGGGCCTGGCTATGGCCAGCTGTGAGTGACTGTGTTGACAGCAGCATCTGGCTCCTGTCACCTTCCCATGTACACCTACACTCCTTAGGTTTCTTGAGCTTTGGAATACAAAACTGGCCACACTTCCCATGGATGCTTTGCCCTGGCAGCCTGCACACAATAACTTTGGCTGTAGGAGAAATCAGAAATAGCTTAGGTCCAGTTAGGTTATCGGAGAGAGCAGAGTGATGGCTGCTATGGACAACACACTAGGTCTTTGAACAGAAGGGATGAAATAGAGGGAGCTGGCCACACGGGGTGGGGGGAGTCCTGAGAAGCAGGCAAGTCAATCTAGAGAGTCCTACTAGCAGGAAGTTGCTGCCACTTGAAGGCAAGAAGGCTATGGGAGGAGACAATGTTATTGGAGTTGGAAGCCAAGTCCACCTGCCACGTTGAGCCACGAAGGAAGGGGCCATCTGGCTGGAGATAGAGCCACAAAAGAGCCACTGCTGGAGCTGGGCAGATCACAAGAAAAAGAAAAAGTGACGAAATACCATGGCCTCTCTTCCTCTCGTGTTTTTAATCTGTCGGTGCCTCCCAATGACCAAGTAGAAACCTGAGGGTCAGAGAGTAAGGGGCTGTGATTCCCTGTAGTCCAGAGGAGGCCAGGAAAAGCATGGGTGGAGGAAAAACTGCTATTTGAGCCATCCAGGGGCAAGGCTTGACTGTAGGCCTACTGCTGTAGCTCAAATCGAGTGACCTGAGGCTTTTGTGAACTTCATTAAACTGAGTGCAACCCGGGCAACAGGTGCCAAGTGTCTTGTATTTATCCTGGAGTGTGCAAGAACAGCCCACAGGGTTGCTGCATTTCCATCTCCACTTTCCTACAAGCTTCTCCCGGCCAAGAATTGCAAATGTCACCCTTGTTGCCAAGGCAGCTGCAGTTGGGATGTAAACCACAGGTCATGATGTGCAGTGGCTTCATTAATGGTTCCCTCAAGCTTCATGCTCCTCTTCCTTGGGAATGTGGGGAAAAATCAGCGGAGTCAGCCCAAGATGTATTAGTGGGAAAAAGAAAGATATAGGACAACTTCCTGGAGACCATTCTGAAGCATCCTGTGAGAGGCACTGAATTGTAAATGTTCCTCACACAAGGAACCTTGCACACTTCCTCTACTCAGTTCAAATATGTCTCAATAAAGTAAATAGTAGTACACTTGTATGAGGGCTTGCAGGAACATTCTAGATGGACAATAGGGCTGCCATAAACTAGTCCTTATCAAAAGCCTTGCTTATCCAAAGTTACTGGGGAAGTTGGGTTAATTTGAAATTGGGTTAGTTTGTCTGATGCCCACCTGAAAATAAAACAGAAAAGTGGCTCTGTCCATGGCTCTGTGTGTGTGTGTGTGTGTGTGTGTGTGTGTGTGTGTGAGACTGAGGAGTGAACTGAAAGCTTTCACATTGAACTACATTCCCAATTCTTTTGTTTTTTATTTTGAGACAGGGTCTTGCTAAGTTACCCAGGCTGGGCTTGAATTTATAATCTTCTTGCCTCAGCCTCTTGAGTGCTGGGGTTACAGGCATGAGCCACCATGCTTGGCTCTCTTTCTGTGTCTTAAATCCATGTATTTTCTTTATTGAATCTCTTGCTTTGGTACTATATTATTGCTGGTTTACTGTTTTAGTTTGATGGGAAGGTACAGAGTGACTGTGGCATTTGAATGTTGATGGTTGCCTTGGGAACGTATGGGATGTCTGGCTTGAGCAATTTTCTCCTTCTATACCAAGGTAGGGACATGGCAGAGCCCAGTGAGGAGTTGTTAGTGGGCTGATTGATTCTCTTTGGTCCCTGATAGTTACAGATGTGTTAATGTTTCGCAAACCCCAGTGCACGATA